TGGGAAATTAGAATTGGGATGTTACAAATACCTCCTCCTTTTGAGGATTTCGTCCTCGAAATCATTGTCGTGTGAACAAAGAAGGGTATTTGGCCTGTATTTCATCTTTACGCTCCCACGTACAATTTGGTCCCCTATGGTGTTTCCACTTGACCAACACCAAGTCCACTTCCTTATTACGTAGGTTCACCTTTCTCTCGTTTAGAATGGACTCGGGTTCTTCAATATATCTTAATTTTTCATCTACTTTGACTTCTGATAAGGGAATCGTCTCCTCATGTTTACCCAAACATTTACGTAAGTACCCGACATGAAACACATCGTGTATCCCCGTAAGTTCCTCTGGTAATTCTAGTCGATAAGCCTGTTTCCCGATACGCTCCAATATTTTGAACGGGCAGATAAATCGTGGACATAATTTACCTTGTTTATGGAATCGAAGCACTCCTCGCCAAGGAGAAACTTTCAGCATTACCATATCACCAACCGAAAACTCGATTGGCCTTTTGCGGCGATCCGCATAAGACTTTTGACGATCTTGGGGCAGCTTTCATTCTATCACGAATAATCCGAATCTTGTCATGCGTGATCTGAATCAACTCGGGACCAGCTAAAATTTTCTCTCCTGTCTCTCGTCAACACAAGGGTGTACGACACTTACGCCCGTATAAAGCCTCGTAGGGAGCCATTCCAATGGTCGAGTGATAACTATTGTTGTAAGAAAACTCAACCAAGGGTAGTTGAGCATCCCAACTTCCACCAAATTCTAAGACACATGCACGTAGCATATCCTTGAGGGTTTGAATGGTTCGTTCGGATTGTCCATCAGTCTGAGGATGATAGGCCGTACTAAACACATGACGTGTTCCCAACTCTTGTTGAAATCTAGCCCAGAATTTAGAAGTGAATCGGGAGTCACGATCAGAGATAATCTTTACTGGTACACCGTGTCACGAGACAACTTCGTTGATGTATAACTGTGCCCATCGATCCATAGAATAAGACTCTCGGACGAGTAAGAACAGTGTAGATTTGGTCAACCGGTCAACTATAACCCAAATACTATCGTATTTTCGTTGGGTCTTTGGTAGTTTAGTAACCAGATYCATGGTTAATTCTTCCCATTTCCACATCGGTACCTCGGGAGGCTGTAAACTACCATACGGTTTCTGGTGTTCAGCTTTTACTTGTAAGCATGTGGTACACTTCTTGACATATCGTCCAATATCAGTCTTCATCCCAGGCCACCAATAATCTAAACGTAGATCTTGGTACATTTTGGTACTCCCTGGATGTATCGATAATCGCGACTTATGTGCTTCCGTTAAGACAACATCCCGCATACCGGCAAGTCTGGGGACCCAAATTCGGGTCTTAAAGATCTTTAAGCCACTTCCGTCTTCAGAAAGAGAATCCAGATATTCCACCATTCGTTCTAATTTAACGTTCTCAGGCTTCAAAGCCTCAATCTGCCACTTCCGAATATCATCGAATAAATTAGATTTAACCAAATTGTGAGTGATAACATAGCATAGAAGTCCAGCATACGTCTTCCTACTCAAAGCATCCGCCACTACATTGGCTTTACCCGGAT